GTCTCTAGACCACGAGAGACGGATAACCCCGACTGGTGCTGGTATCACAACCAGTATGGAAAGTCTTCCAGAAATTTCAGAAAACCCTGCAATTTCCCCATCTCAAGACCGACTGACTCGAAAAACAACTCAGGAAACTTCCAAGCCGGCACGCGTTAACGGCAACCGTAGCCGGCGAACATAGCCGTCTGTTATACGTCACAGATGTGACAATGAGTGTTCGCTACCTCGTCAACACTGGCGCAGAGGTTAGCGTTCTCCCAGCGAATCCCAACGACCGGCTTCACGACTCGACCCTAAACTTACAGGCGGCAAACGGAAAACCTGTCGCTACGTATGGCAAAAGGTACGTTTACCTTAACGTGGGCTTACTCAAACCCATTCACTGGATCTTCGTTGTTGCAGATGTTTCTATGCCATTTATTGGCATGGACCTTCTACAACACCATAATCTAATCATCGATACTCGCAAACGGAGGCTAGTAATCGTAAACACTAATTTGTCCGTTTGCGTAACTTCTTTTTCTGGTTGCAAATTATCCCCAGTCACAATCAAGCATACGATAGACCCACTTTATCAACCACTACTCGATAATTATCCTGGCATTCGTCAAACGCAACCGAAATTACCGTGTATAACCAGCAACGTTACACATCACATCACGAGTACAGGACCACCTGTATTCTCTAAAGCACGACGACTAGCTCCTCAAAAGCTAAGGTTAGCGAAAAACGAATTCGAGCACATGATAGACTTAGGGGTCATACGACCGTCAAGTAGCCCATATGCATCTCCCTTGCACATGGTCCCTAAAAAGGACAGCAACGATTGGCGTCCAACTGGCGACTATCGCTTAAAAGCAGCGTATTTAGAAGGAAATCCTATTCACGTCGACTTTCCTTCGGTACAACTGCACAACACGACTCCTACGCTTATAATTCCTCAACCGACAGGCAACACACCCGATGATACTTCAATAGTATCAGAAAATAAACTTAAGACGACGCGTTTTGGAAGAAGAGTAAGATTTCCAGAACATTTAAACGACTACTGCACGTAAGGCACTACTTGACAATTTTAATATGCTTATATATTTATATTTATATTTAAAAAAAAACATTATAAAATTTGTTAACGCTATTACGTGTGCTTGAGTTTATTTTCCATTTTTTTCGCCGACATTGTGTTTTTACGCACAAACGAGTGTATTTCGACATGCACTTACATTTTCTTCTTTCTTTTCCAGGACGGCTGGAAAAGAACGGTGCAGTTTACGAGGAGCCGAAATTTTCATTGTACTTTCTCTTTCTTTACTATACTGTACTTCATGGTCCTATATAGTAAGGAAAGACGAACAGACGCTGCTAAACTTAGCAAGCTATCAGAGGAGTGTTTACCAACGACAAAACTCGTTGGGTTTAAGCTTCTGGCTGGCCACGCCTTAGGGTCATCACTACCACACTAAGGGGGAGTGATCTGTAGCGGTAAATAAATCCCCAATGAATGAACTGATATTAGCTTTTATGACCACATTTACTTATTGTGCATGCTGTGGAACAATAAATGTAATTTATAGATCATGCCTGTAAAAATGGCTTGTACCTGCCACTGCAGAAATATATTATATTGTACCTAAGAAGTGATAGACATAGATGTAGGGAAAGAGGGGGCATCCTTTTATACATGGTCAGTAATATAAATATCCGCTCTTATACTTGAGAATACCATGAGAGTGGAGGGAGGCGAAATCCGACTCACATGTCCGCACCATGCATCTTGGATAATGGGTCGAATGACTCATGAACTAACGTGAGCGGTAACCCGGGAGGTGGAGATCGAGCCAATCACACATTCTTACCGATACCCACAAATCGATTACGAAACCCACGGAGAAACACAGCACAATTACATTTGGACTGGAAAACGACAAAAAATTTTCAAAAGTGGTGGGTGTAACACACGGAGTTGCTCACCATAGGGCAAACTCCGATGGATTGCAAAAACAACTATTCCAGCCTCGGTAGTTGCGCCGTGCTTCGATGTGGCCTGTTTCTCTCCAGAAGGTTCTAACAGGCTTCACCAACTTGTTTGGCTGGAAGGGGGGCATGATAGTGAAACTTGTGAAGTCATTAGCTGTGAGCTCACTATCAGATATGGTACATTTGTAGTGGTATTCAGCTTCAACCACACAATCCTCAATGCTGAACACGAGACATCTGAGATAATAGATGTTCAACATTTAACGATGGATAAGGCGGGAACAGAGAATTGAGTCAATTCCAACTGATAGGATGGCATGGTTCAGCCTCGCAGGCGTGGTCGCTCTGTACAACATACTTAAATACGACATATTAAACATATTGTTCGATCTCCAGCCTGAATGTGTTTTCCATCATATATTGGTAATTGTTACGGTGCGATGAGTCAGTGTAGATAATGATGTTATTTCCACGTAATATCTTATAAAGTAGACAGTTACTAACCAGCAGGCATTGGTGGTGAGGGCGATAACTTCAATCCACCCGTGTTTGTGGGGGTAGAACATTTTGTATGTACCAGGCTCTTTATGATTGAGGATAAGTCAATCAATCTGTGATATAGATTGTTTTCCTACGCTCACGTTTCCGATATTATGCTGGATTAGCTATTCTACTAAGACAACCTATAACATGCTAACTCGGAATTTTACACTAGGATTGTGTGGCTGGCATTGGACAAACAAAAATGGAAAAAAAATAGACAAAACAAGATATAGTCATTAGTATTCTTACCACTTCACCCTCTATATGCACACTCCCTTCTAATAAACCGCCTTCCTTGTACTAACCTTGACTTCCTTTCCTTCATGTGAGCTTACTCCAACTTGTTAAACATTACAACTCACTGTTCTTTATTACTACATTCTCTTATATGGAGCCTCTGACTTCATTTCACTCTAGCAAGAGATAATATGAATTTATTCTAATTTATTATACCTCTGTCCGTTCTACTACGCAATGTTAAGCAACGTTTGGCGTTCATATCCAAGTGCCTTGCTGCTCTTCCGTTTCTCTTGTTTTCTTCAGAACTTTGCTCTGAGGGCACAGTTATGAAACTTTTGACGTCTGGAACAAACTTGATGTACGCGTCTCCTCAAGGTTACGGTTTGCAGCAAGCGCCCTACGAGTATACGTTATAACAACTGTAAACTTAATAAGTTGAGAAGCATTTCGTGAACCAAGAAATGTCGTAATTTATAGATCATGCCTGTAAAAATGTCGTGTACCTGCACATACAGAAATATATATTATTATAATTAAAAATGTACAATTTTAGGATTGGGTCAATTATTAGAGCAGTACTAATATCATAGTCGACCCAGTTCTACATTGGTAAGCCCGACTAAGGAAACACAACTCATTATTGTAAATCCGCACATCACTTGAACTTTCTCGATCGATTTTTATTTATGTAAACCCATTATTTTAAAAGTCCTTTGATTAATGCTCAAATGTATGATCGTGCTGTTAAATTGATTAGTACTTATAGCATAATGACTCAATCAAAACTAATTGCTGGTCGTCTATATTAATTAGCTTTGATGGTTCATTAACAAGCTTTAGTAGCATTAACATGCTTCAGCGAAACAAACTTGTTGAAAAATCAAGCTCTAGCAAACATGACTTGGAAATAACCTAAATATACATTGACTAGCAACGTAAGCAAGGACTAAATATTTAGTTAGATCTAATTCTTCGCCAACAAAGAGTATGGGTAAACTCAAATTTATCTAGCTGGGAAAATGTGCTTAGTGGAGTGCTCCAGGGCAGTCTTGGGGCCAGTGTTATTCCTCTTGTATGTAAGTGACCTTCCTCGTCTAATATCATCATCGGTCTTGCTATATGCTGACGATGTCAAGATATGGAGAGCGATACGATGTAAGGGTGATAGCTTAGAACTCCAAAATGACCTGGATAAATCATCTGAATGGTCGCAAACTTGACAGTTGGCGTGAAATACCTCCACATGTGTGGCGATGCATATCGGTCATCAAGGTACAGATACATACATGATGAATAACACTGAGCTACCTGTTGTCCAGACACACAATGACTCAGGAGTCATCGATAGCCAAGACCTAAAGACTACTGCACACTGCCGTGCAATAGCCGCCAAAAGGCTTTAGAACCTTATGGCCAATACGTAGGGCTTTTAGTCATGTCAACGTTAAAACGTTTTTGACTTTGTATACAGTGTTCGTACGTCCTAAACTTGAGTACTGCATACAAGCGGATAGCCCCTGCTTAAAAAAAAGATAGTGAGCTCCTGGAAAAGGTTCAGAGAACAGAAGCTAAGCTGATTGCCGGAATAGCGAAGCTTCCGTATTCTGCTCGATTGGCCAAGCTAAACCTATTCCCGTTGTCATATCGAAGAACTAGAGGCGACTTGATTACAATTTTAAAATGGTTTTGTGACAAATTCGCACATGATATGCCCTAATTTTTCTTGTATTCCGAAACAGGGAATTTACGAGGACACTCCAAATTATTCACAGACTCGGGATAAATTAATTGTCAATTGACTATCGACTTTCCCATCGCGTCATCAGCGAGTGGAATTCGTTACCTCAGTATGTGGTTGAGGCTTCAACCGTCGACTCTTTAAAAAAAAATTGGATCAACTGAGAGACCACCAATGCAAGGCTAACACAGGCCATCAAGCCTCCTGTCCTTTCCAAACTGGAAGTGATGACATAATATCATTAAAGATTCGTCGTATATCATGCGTCATCACGATAGCATCGTTTTCTTTACTTGGAGGATGAACGCTATCAGACAGAGTGAAGTTGAACTTAATTTAAATCTAAAAATGTCTTGATTTGACCGCTTTTGCAAAACCTTACAAATTGTCGAGGTGACGCACGAATCGTTTTACGACAGCTTGACCTTCAAGTGCACCACAACCTACATCAGTGGACGATAGCCTTGAAGCGTTACCTTTTATCTTGTGTTGGGGACAAATGAAGCTGACTGATTCTACTATCAGAACTTTTAAACCTGTGAAATATTTCAAGGAGAATTCAGACCGTATCAATTCCCTCAGTTATTCCAGTAATGGTGAGACGCTTATTTCTAGCAGTGATGATGATCAGATGGTGACTTACGATTGTTCTAGCGGAACGTAATTATCACGTTTATCATGTCCTCATATTCGACCATAGACCTAAACGTACACTTAACAGCAAAAAATATGGAGTAAACTTGATACAATTCACTCACAGTCCGACGACTGCAATTCACGCTTCAACAAAGATTGATGGTAATTACATTTTGATACTAACATTCTCAAGATACAATACGTTACCTTTCTTTGCATGATAACAAGTACATCAGGTACTTCCAGAGTCACACTAAAAGGTAAGCTAATAGAATTTACGTTCGTATACACAGGGTCGTTTCGTTGTGTATGTCACCTATTGATGACACGTTCCTGTCTGGTTCAATGGATAGTACTATTCGTTTGTGGGATTTGAGGTCACCTAACTGCCATGTATGTTTTGCCTCGTATTAAGATTTATTATCTGTCGTTTTGTTGTTATTCTTCGTCCATATCATGCCTAATGTCCAAGCAACAGAGCTCCATAGGTTCTGCTTTTAGAATGATTTCGAGGCTTTCAGTTACAGTTTCCAACATGCAGGTTTTTCCGTGATATCTATCAAAAAATGAGGGGAATTACTGCGTTAAAATAAAACCTTTTGGACTATTTCACCGAAATTGCGCAAAATTTTTCGGTTTCATAAATAAATGCAGACGAATTTCCTCAAAGTGTAATAAGATTCTGGCGTTTCGGTGCCATTTCCCCAAAATTGGGAGATTGAGTGGTTTCACATCTTGCTTAGAAAAATATTGAATTAATATAGGTCGATAGATCTATCCTTATTACTGAAGACTAGGTTACCCTGAGGGCCCCTAAATGCGCTGTTGCGGCCGAGGGTAGGAGAGTCAGCTCACCCTCTCGAAATGCTTTCACACGGCTAAGCATATACAGTCACTGTTAGGGAAGTCCTACTCACTGCCTTCTTGTGGCGGTAGGTGTTGTTTACGAAATTGAGAGGACGAAAAGCGAATGTCCGGCGTTTTAACCTGGTTGGTAGACACAGTCCACCTAGGGGAGTTGAAAAACTGATTTCAAACAATGGGCTCCAGTATTCTGAGCGAGCAAGTGGCATATGAAGCAATCGTGGTGAGACTATAATTTATGAACGACCTTTGATCGACTCTAAAGTGACCTTGAGAGTGTCTACTTACTATGGCTAAATGAAGGTTATAAAGCAGTTGGAAGACTAAGGATTATGATTTACAGTTGATGGTTAGTAATTAGATTTAAGGTTTTCATCACGAACTGACGTCAGTTATAGTGCCAGGACTATTTGGCCAAATGGGTGAATGAATTTCGCGCAGAAATTCAAGACCTGTTATCGTAAATCTGATTAGTTCGTCCATAAGTTATAGTCTCGCCGCAATCGTTGGTCACCGGCTACGATGAGACTGCGTCTCCACTGTCTTGTGGATCAGACCTGTTGGTTGAAGGCTTCGGGGTTGGCCCCCTAAGAAAACCACCTGCTTCAGTTTGGGCACCCGGGCGATATCATAGCCCACACGCAAATAAAGCGACTTGTGTGGCGCATATGTATTCGGTGCCCCTTTGCTTCAATATTTATACGTTCAAATAAATAAATGTTCGGGGGTCAGTTAGTTGATGTACCAAAAGACTGGTTACTGATTCCTTCCTCACTCTAAAGCTTTGTGACTTCGCAAACAATATTTATTTGGTGATTGTTTCATGCTACCGCGCATATGTGTACTAGTTTCTACCCAACATTTGTCGAATTCCTCGAAACATCTTTTACACAGGCAGCCATCCAAAAAGCTTTTATGTGATATTTTGGTTCATCAAAAAGGTAAAATATGCGTTTGGAAAGCATCTCAATAGTTAAAGCTTGCAGCTGTTAAAACGTGTGTCGCAGATTCGAGCCTCTAGGCAGCTACTCTGATTTGGACAGCTGTGTAGACTCGCCATTACAATATGGCTCAAGGCCGATTATGTGAACATCTACATAGTAACTAACACTTAAGAGAATACATTTTGTTCAGATAGTCTATATCGGATACGAAAATTTAAATTCGTGGGGTTTTTGTGGGTTTGTTGATGGATCTTATAGCATTTATCAAATGTTAACAAGTTTGTAGTTTGCCTTTAGCAATAGAGACTCAAAGAGAAATAACTGATAAACATCTGAAAATAATTTATTTATTGTTTATAGACACTAGTTAAACATCAAAGTGCAAGACGTCAAATGAATTACTATGTAGTTTCGTACAACTAATCTACTGAGGCCATCATCAGTTGCACTGTCTATTTATACGTGATTAAAAAAACGGAGCAGTTAATCTTTTAGAATCACTTGCTTTATGTACTCTGTAACTGTATGGATGGAAGCATTTGAAAAGAGGTTAATAAAATCTTGTATAGCTGCGATATTTCGTTAAAAAGCAGTATTCGAGCTTAAATTAGTGAATTACCAACGTCTCATCAGTGCATAAGTTTTGTTAATGATTTGAGGCTAGTATATGAGTACATGGATATTTTCTAAAATCCTCCATAATCTTATTTTGCTTTTTTTAACGGCTTTTCCCCAAGGGTGTAATGCATGTTTCTGGTCGACCAACAGCGGCTTTTGATCCAGAAGGATTAATATTTGCAGCGGGGATTAATTCCGAATCTGTTAAGCTCTATGACCTACGATCATTCGATAAGGGACCGTTTGCTACGTTCAAATTGGGTATGGAAACAAGTGGATGCATTTGGACCGGTTTACAATTTTCCTCTGATGGAAAGGCTCTTTTAATAACGACTAACGGAACTCATATTCGTCTAGTTGACGCATTTAAGGGATCCCATCTGCATACATTAGCCGTAAGATTAATTTCAATACACTTTTATGAACGAATTTTTTGGAGGGGTATATTTTGAAACATTACATACCTTTTCACTGTCAACAACATGGTTAAGCAAAAATAAATCCACTTCTTTGTAGAAATCTGGGCTAAAGATACGTGATCATATTCACCAGAATATCTCATCATTTTAAGTTATAAGTATTAAATAATCAAAAAGTTAATGTCCGTAGAAACATTTCTCATATAATCTACAGATAAGTGTAGATTTAAGTTTTATAGTTGAACTGTGTCAGTTAGTATATTTCATTGAAAACAAGTTATCTTGCTAGTCTCATCATCTCTGAAGTGTTGGTGCTTGGTGAAATCTTAACTCATTCAGCATGCTCGCTTGGCTTCAACCAAATTGCTTCGATCGTGCTGTAGATGAGATATCTGTCTGTCAACAGAAGGATGGGTTTACTGCGCGTCACTTCGTTTTTTAGACTAAAACGTGTCCTTTAAAAATAGAGGTTGTGGCACTATATAGCGTTAGATAAGAGGTGTTAGCAAATTACTCAGCAGGTTGTCATCTAAGTGTTATGTATCAATTGTTAGATCTACCCAGTTTGCATGAGTCTCGTTTCTTATTAGAAAAACCTGTCAAATCATTTGTAATCAGAAATTACTGTATCCACTCATAGAACAACACATTCATAGGTTACTTGTGTTTGATCATAGATGTTTCCGAAGCATCTCTCTCGTAAGTTGAGGCTTTCGAGTGAAAAAGGCTAAGATTAGACAGGGTAATAGGTAAACATGACAATTCGGTTAATAAGGTTGTGAGTCTTTCTCGACTGAGGTGGTTGGTACATGCATTAGGTGTACCCGACCCCTGATAATTCAATGCACGATGATCGCTAGTGTATTAGTGGGTTGGAAGAAAACAACCGGTTAAGCCAAGACGTGGGGTCGTAATGAACGAGGACTCAAGTGTGGAAGACTAATTCGTTGTTGAGTGCAAATTTGCAGGGTGCTTACATAAAATATGAAAACCACACATTAAATACATAATTTGCACATCTTCCATCAGTTTTCCTTTGCATGTTTCATGATTCTTTGAATTCTTTTGCTATTACAATTACTTTCTGTTCTCTTCAATTGAATCTTCTACTGGCATGCTAAATACTGCTTATGTCAACATAATTAGCATACGCCACAGTATTAGTTCTTTAAGTAATTGACTTTTGGACTGAACCTTGTTTACAGGTTGCGGTCATGAAATCATCGTAACCAGTAGCCTAAGACGTTGGGTGATACGGTTCAGAATCTGTTGGAATGACGCATGCATTCACTCTTAGGCTTCCTTTTAGATTCTGAGTCTCTAAGTCATCTTGTATTTTTTATACGAATTCTTTCTTAAATAATATTGTTCATGCCTAATTTTTTTGCTACCAAGAACACTGCTAGTACTTTTACTACTGGGATTTGTCTTGATAATTTTATCTACCTATACGAACATGGTTTCGTAATTTGGACTGATGCACATATGCCAGTTGTTACGTCGCTTATTACTGCAACTGGTTAACATCAAGTAATAAGCAAAATAAATAAATAAGTGAACTTTAGACTTTTAACTGTATATAAACTGGACTCAATCCAAACAGTCCGCATTATCTTAGCCGGTCATATTTTACCTGTAATATTGGGTTTTGACCAGTTTATCTATGAAATTTTGTGAATTGTAAGCCGTGTTTCAATAGTACTGGCTACGATGTCATAACCGAAAGTAATGTTTATACTGTACAACATTATGCAACCGTTTACGGGTCCTTACAGTTTTAGCTAAAACATAAAACCATGGCCTCGTAAGGTGACCCTGAGGAGTCTTCTAACGTGGTGATAAGTAATTTACTTATTACTATGGTTTACTGTTTAGGTCATAAGGTTTAACCATGTCAATCATAGAATATTATTGATTATTGGTGGTTAGATCTTTTCGGCATAATCTTGTAGGAATTAGCTTAAGTATTATCTTCCCAAAGCTATTATTAATTCAACACCTTACTAGACCGTAATTAATAAGTTCTGTGCAACTTAGTAATCAAGTGTAAGTTCTTGCATTTGATCTTGAACTACACGCTTAGTGCAAGGGATATTTACATCACTTTGGTGCCAGAAGGGGAGTAGTTAGGGGAACCTGATGACTAAAAGTCGGGTGCTATAACCTCCCAGTCACCTTTCCATCATTTCCATTTTCATTGAAAGCTCAAAATTATTAACGTAAAGGAAGGAAATTAAAGTTATGGCATTGTCAGTGGTGAAAATACGAAGGCAAATCTACGAGGGGGAATAAAAAGCTGAGGAAGCTTATGTTATACTAGGCTGATTTTAAACTACATTAGCTAAGGTCCCCAGATAATCTTTCATATATCAACCTGGATACTTACGTCTTTCTACATGGTTTGAACTAAGTCAGGAGCTTCGTGCTTATATGTAATATTCGGCTGCACATACACTTACTCCATACGTTCGTGCACCAGCAGTCCAAAAGGTGTGTTAAAAGCTGGATTTTATTATCATTGCTTAACAGGACTTTATTTGGGTACTCCAGGTCAGTAGAGGGCTCTTGTGGGTGGGGATCGACTAGTGCGATATCAGAGTAACGGCGTATTACTTCTAGAAGTGCATACGTGAAGTCGGATAAAAATGAAGAGAGTGAACAATCCCAACGAATATCGATTGTCATGGTCACTTCAGACGATCAGTCGCAATAAAGCTCTTACGTAACTGCGAGTGTGCAGGTTGAAAATCACATTAGTGCTATATGCTTGTCCAACATTTTAATTAACAAACATATTTTACCACGTCGCCCTGACAGATGGTGTGGATTGCTATGCTCAGGTTTGGGCAAATGGCTCATAATCGTAGTTTACGTTTGTCTGTTGAGCTATGAGCTGCAAAGTTTTGTGAGGAATGGTTATACTACTCGGCCACACAAATAAGAGTAGCTGGTGTGGGTTTTAAGCCTGCAACTCCCATGTAATGGGTGATAATTTAAGCCCTGTAGATAGGCCATAATTTTGTTGGCGCATTAATAGCCCATGAAACTCCAATCACACAATTCTTCGTATATTTAATGATATATAATCATGTTTCCTTTCCATTTAATATATATCCATCATATGATTTTACTAAAGGAAAATTCCCACAAACCATTTGTGTTACCTGTTTAATACCAGTTAGTCTTAGATGTGCCAGTAGTCCAATCTCTTGATTAGCAGTCAGTTGGCAACATTGTATCACCGCATAATTTACCAGTCAACATTCTCTTCATAATTTTAACAAGAAAAACCTGCCCATCATCAAAATTTGAAACTGTAGTTCATGGCGGACGTAGTAGTTGGTAGTCAAGGCTTCTGATCACTAAGCATCACGAGCAAGTGAAATATCATGTATCGATTATTATGCATAGTCGGCAGAATTTGTTGGGTAATAAAATTAAGCATTCAGTTTATTATTCCCTGAGGACACCTTGTTGATTAATATTCATCTTTGTGTTTTATTTTATGCATACTTAGCTAATTGGATCTAATTTTACCCATTCGTTGTTCTAAATAATCTTCGGTTCATCAAAACGTATCTGATTCAAGTCTTTAATCGAGTACAAATTTCTATTTTGCTTTCTTTATTAAGTAGCGATTGGACTCACTAGACTTTATTTAATTTGTTGAAGCCCATCTAAGACTGTAAAAATATCAGCTTATATCATTATTTGGGAAACTGATAGTTTTATCGTCATTATAAAACGGTCATAGAGATGAAAATTAAATTTACAAATTCTCTGTATCAGCGAAATTGATTTGTACACCTAAAGCGTCCTCTGTATATTTGACTAGAATTCACTCTACATATTTATTATCACTTTGGTTTGTTATTTCAATTAATTGACTTTCAGAAAATAGGATTGGTGGTTTGAATTTGCTTTCATTTATAGGGGTTTAAAAATCAGACATTGTCATCAGCCCTCATACAACTGATGTTTGATTCATATATTTTTTGCACAAACCCGTACACAGTAGTTGAGTTGGATTTTTATTATTTCATCATCGCAGTTCAGATTATCAGTTGACTCCTAGTTAGACATGTGAAGTTGTTGCTCGTATGCTATAATTTCAATTTTATTTGAATAATCTGTTCCAGAATTTCTATGTTACTAGTTTCCTACTAAATAGGATTTTCACCTTGACAGGTTATACCAAATACTGACAGACAAACGCTACATGCCAGTTTCACACCAGATAGTCAGTTTGTTTTAATTGGTTCGCCAGACGGAGTTGTACATATTTGGTCTGTTGAAACTGGAGTACGTGTGGCAAGCCTACCAGGTTATGAAGCTGCTACCCAGTTACCAAACGCTGCTATTCATAGTCTCGCTTTTAATCCCCGGTTCGCAATGCTAGCTACAGGATCTAACCAAACGTCGTTCTGGCTTCCAGCTCTTGAAGAGTAAAAATGAGTTATCTGTGATGTCATAACTTTCTTATTCTTCTTCACTTTTGTAAATATGTTACTCTTAACTAGCAAACTTCAAATTGCTAACGATTGTTACGTTTTTGAAAAAATACATTTTCAATTTATGTGATATTATTAGTGATGCTAAACCATCAAATAATATGAAATAAAATTACATAACAAAATGCAACCAGCTCACAGTATGCCTGAAGTATTTTGCACTGGTGACTAATGAAAGCAAGTATAATATATCAAGTTAGTAATGTTATTGGACATATATGATAAGTAAACTTGCGGGAGGAAAATAATTAGTTCGTATTTGTAATCTTAAACGTTGCTAGGTGGAGTTAATCGCTTTCGTAGGCAAATTTGACTCGAATACGTAAGTATCCCATATAACTTCGCATAAATATACGATTAGAAAACATTTACGCCACGATGATTGTCAACAGTGCCAAAATATAAGGCGTTAGGGGAAATAGTATTTAAGGGACACTGCACTAGTAGACTAAATGTATAAAATCCAGGAAGTCAGTAATAATGTATTTGTATATGTGTCCTGGATAGATATATTCTACAGGCCTAATGTAATAAGATAGTAGGTCAAACATATATGTATATCAAAGTGTATATGAGTCAGTTTATAACTAATCATATTAAGAAAAATAATAACCCGTATGATAGAAATAACGCATTTAGTCGTTACATGGTTGTCTGGTTTGTGTTGTAACGTGTGGGACTGCAGGGTTTGGATACGCAGCGTTATTTATCGATCGCTCCTGTGACAGTGACACGTAAACATGTAAGGACGGCCTAGTGCCCTGATTGGCCCTGCTTCGCTGTCTGTCCTAGCCAGTTGAGTCAAGAACACAAGTCACCGCCTCGGAGTTATGAATCATTATATTTCAAACATACTTTGTTTATATACCAACCAAGCATACCACATCGTACCACAAAATAGGAAACAACATTTACAAAATATTTAACAAGTGAAATAAACATCGACCAATAAGAAATGTACATTTAAGGTTCAAGGACACCATTGGACTTAACATGATAATTATTGGTCTCTTTTTCCGACTATCCTAACAGTTTGGTACGTTCAGACTACATGGTTTTGGTTGCGCGATCGTGACCGACGACTCGAGACTGGGTGACATGGTTGAGAATCGGTGGCACATGCATTAACTTTTTGTTTCCCTTTAGCCCCTAAGTTTCGATATTCACATACATTCTTTTCTCACGAACCTATTCTTTCTCGAAATCGTATTGTTTATGCCTAATTTTATCTACCGCTATTGATTCTACTAACATCGGGTTTTGTCTAGATAAATCCATATCGCTAAAGTGATATGGGTTTAGCGAATTGAATCGATGAGTTTGTGTATCACGCTCCATGTTGCGTATGACTGGGTGACGCCAGTTCATGCAAAGATAAGGTTATTTAAACCTTTCATGTAAATTCATTACCATTTATTTGCATCCCGAAGTATACAGATGGTCAAGGTGAGTGTGAGTGACCTACTACAACAGAATATAACAAACCTCGAGCTTAATTCACAATTTTCGTCTTTGCACCATGGTAATCAAGTATTGGTAACCAAATTATCCATTGTGATATTTAGTGAGTGAAGACCACATATAGTGTCTCCAGACAGACCTCACCTGTTCTTTTTACGTTATGAGTTATAAATCCTGTATTACCTACAAAGCAGATAGTTCGCTCAACAGTTTTTGAAATCTTAGGTTAGAGGTTTTCAATGGCTAGATTATGTTGGGGAATAATGGTCAAGACTAAATGAGGAATCTTTTAACAGAGCGCAATTATATGTTGATCAGATCCTCACTTTTCGCTAAATCAGGAAACATAGAATTACTTGCTCCCGATATTATTCACATTAACTCTATTTAATGGTAGTGTTCAATCCCATTACGTGAGAGTAGTTTTGTGAATGTTTTATTTGGGGTTATCGAATTAAGGTACCACTTCAATTCATCACTCAGTCCTTTAAAGGCAAGTGATAGATTTTTACTTGATTAGGCAACAAGATCAGGATTAACGGCTATTTCTTCCGTTTTAAATTGGAAGTAGGTGTACTGATGTTGGCAACCTGACATCCAAATTCTAGTGTCTGGTAACTAGTTCACGCCTAGAGTGACAATGTTTCCTTATTAGTGTCCATGAAAGACAATCAGCTTCTGGAGTCTGAGCAATAAGGTTCAAAATGAATTTAGTATATCGGTTTAGGTATTATCTGTGATCTGAGTATTCCGGTATGAGTCGGGATGTGAATAAATTTACATTGAAGTTCATTACCACTTCTTTCACACCTGGCCTGCGAAATATCTTAATCGTACTAAATGATTCTCGAAGCCACATGAAACGATGTAAAAAATCACCACATGCTTTTTATTTAAATGGTCGGTAGTGGTGGCGAATATATATATTATTCAGTACATAGCTGTCGTTAATACATTTAAGGCTTCAATTTTTCCATTTGCAGATTGTCTTAAGTTCGCGCTTGTGTTAATGAATATCGATTGTTTCCATCGTAATTCCTAAGTGCATTTTGTGCGCTTAACGAGCTGCTGGCTCAGGTTATTTATCATTGTTCTCTCTAAGTTTCACTCTGCATACAGTGGTCGTTCACGTCAGACATATCTATTAATGGCTGAATGTTGCGTACAATTTCGTGTTGAGGAAGAATCACTCTGGTGTTTGTGTGTACTTAAATATACTTGGGGCTAAGAACAATCTGTGTGTTACGTAAAATAGAGTAACTACTGCGTATTGAACGTCGATTTGAGCAAGTCGGTGAGCAGGCCTGACCCACCAGCAAACGTACCGTTGCTGCTACCTAGACGTAGTGCTAGGGCTTGCCTATCGTGATGAACTAATAGTTCCTCAAGATCCTACCATGTTAGGCAGGTCGGTTGCAGAGCGGTAAGACTAAAAGTGGCAAACCCAGGGTCCGGGGGCGAAGTTGCACTGCTGATTGTACAGAGGTGTGGTGGCAACAGTGTTTCCTTCAGACAACCGGCATGACAGCGATGCTGCCTTCCTACAAAAGAGAAGTGGGGTTAGGGGTTTGACCCTAATAATACACACCTCGCCTTGCCCCACGGATGTCCGTCTCCGGCTGTGAGGTCTCAACAAGTACGGAGCTAACACAAGAAGGTCGTGTGTGACCGGCCTCGAGCAGTTGCCCCTTGGGCACTGCGGTCATTAAGACAAACTCTAACCCAAGTTCCTTCACAGGTACCTATAGAAGAACCCTTCCACGGTGTGGGCAACCGGGAAGTGGAAACCGCCCTCATACCTCTAATAGCACTCAAGACCACTATATTCATAATCAGTTTCCTTCTTTAATTCCTATTATTCCTCTTACCACGACTATCAACTTGAAACTTCCTCCCCAAGTGTTACCATTGTCAACGACTCTAGTGCTCGAAACACTGTCCCGGGTCTACTGAAACCCGCTGTAATCGAGTCACTGGAGGGGTGGTGGTTATTCCATGTAAGCATCTAAAACTATGAAAGCAGGGATCTATAGCAATGCTGTCCTCATCAAATTACCTGGTTAGATATGGCTTACCGTACACGCTCAAAAATGTGAAAGTTACTAAGTATGTATATCGAGCTCGGAACATTAATAGTACATCTGGTACCACAATATGCGAGTCACTTGTTAAGACTGGCTCACTAGATCCCGACTAAGAAATTGTCTGTGGTGGCTTCGGGCCCCCTAGTGTCGACTGGGAAACTATATGACGCACTGTACTTTGAAAGCATACTTAGTTCCCTAGACACACGGTTGACAGCAGCATGTACACTTGCCTACACGGAACCACAAACATTCTTGACTTACAATTCCACACTAGCACCTGTGGTCGTTGGAGAAAAGCTTAACTACAGCGATAACAAAAGTCATTTGCGCTCCACCGTTTCTTAAAAAGTACAACATATCCAAGACAATAAATGCGCGATTTCAATGTAAAAATTGTGCGCACGCTGACTGAGAAAACTTCTGATTGCTGATAAATCACTCTGACTAGAGAAGTTTCTTTACAAGTATAAAGACCGAAACGCCAATATTTGGTTTGAACGTAGAGCTAATGAACAAAAATTTATTTGATTAACACAGACTACGTCCTTCTGTATATTTATTTATTTGAACACATAAATATTGAAATTAAAACATGAAGTTCAGCGAAGGGATCTCTTTTCAACGAATTTATTATCAAGCTGTACAATCGTATATATATTAAAATTTTTGTTTTTGTAAAAGTACTAATTCCGTGAGGAAATGTGAACACAGTTAATAAAAAGGTTATAATACTAGATTACGTAATATGAATAATAACAATAGATTTAGTGAATATAATAAACATTGGTACAAGAGGGCATCAAATATATATACGCTACACAAAACAATGACAATTTGAAGAGAAGGAAAAAAAGATGAGGAGCGTAGAAGAAAAGCAGTAACGAACAGATTAGTGTAGGGTGGCGTAATAATAATAATGAAAGAAACGAAAAGGTACAATCAGAAGAAATCTTTCAGTTAAGGAAGATGCAACCTCTTTTTTATGAACAAAGTAAAAGAAGGTTACAGCAGGATCGCCACTGGCTTCTATTCCGAGCCATATCTGATAACGTCTCTAGCCACTGTGTCACACCATCTCTCGGACCCCAGCCAGGGAGTCGTGAAGGACCAACATAAGCCAGCCTTATGCAGCTTTCTTTCATACTCCGACACCATGTCATATACTGACCACCTCTCCTCTTCTTCCAACCAGTCCCAGAGTCGGCAAATAATGCACGGCGTGGAATTCTCTGGGACGACATTCGTAGAACATATTCAAGTCACCGAAGTCGGTGTTTCAAGATGGTGACACCAATTGAATTATCATCTCTGCGCCCGAACACACGATGCCGAACCTTTGCATTACTGACATGGTTTTGCCACTGAATGTCAGCAATCCTTCGGAGACAGC